TCTAGTCCTGGCAACGAGCATGACGAGCAGAAGCCCAGACAAACCCCAGCTCAATCTGAAATAAAGCATTTCCCTCATTATCTCTTCTGGGGCACATTAGATACCAACTCAGCCAGAACCAGGGTGGGCAGTGGGCCAGGCTGCACTCTTCCCTCCCAGCCAGGTGGAGGAAATGACCACTTCCGGGTACACGTGTGCACAAAGTCCCAGCCCCAGTAATCCCTGACCTCAGCTGAGGAATCCCTAGACAAAGGGCACACAGAACATTCTGGAAACCCAGGGACATCATAAGCAAAGACCCTGGGGCATCACAGACACCAGAATACACCTTCTGGGCTACCAACCTCGCTTTCTCCGTGCTGTCTTTAGCTCCTGGGATTCCACCCCCTCAGCCTTTATAATTCCCTGCCTCGGGGTGCTTCCCGCAGCACAGGACACAGAAGCACCTGGGGTGGACTCCTGTCCTTGTGCTGCCTTCTGTAAAGTCCCCCTGCAGTGGAAATACTGAGTGTCCCCAGGTGTGCTGGAGAGAGGGCGTCCACGCTGACAAGGAGAGCGAGCAGGCAGAGGCCCTGGTGTCGCGAGCCATGGAACGGTATCCCAGGGAGGCCACAAGACCTCAGGGGCACACTAGCGAGCTTCGGCCCCTGACCCAGAGCACACGGCTCCTGACTGCACCACAGACGCTGGTGCCTGCAGCTGGCTCTGTGTAGGCACCGTGGGCTGAGACTGGGTGTCAGCACCCAGTGTGCAGCCATGCCTGGAGACGATTCCTCTTTTCTCCATGAATGACCCCAGGACCTTGGCACCACCCCAGGTGCAGAGAGGCCCACAGTAGCATCCCCGCAATTCCTGTCAGCCCACAGAATGGAGCTTCACAATGAGAAAATAAAGACGGAAGTTCCCTCCTGCACACACTACCAGGAAGACTCGCATGCACACCATCCCACGCGTGTTGGCAGGAACAGGTCTGCAAAACCTGCCCCTAGGAGTCCAGGGGTCCAGGAGGAAACAGAAAATGGAGGTTGGAGACAAAGCCTCAGGAGTAAGGAATCAAAATCTACGTGTGGAAAACAGCCCCACACAGACCCTTAGCGACAAGACAGTCCTGGTGTTCGACCACGGTTGTCAAAGCGACTCCAGGGTCTTAGTGAGGGCGCCGGGGAATACAAGCCGCAGCCTCAGATCAGCAGCCACGACCGCTGTGTGTGCTCAGCGTGCCCTTCGGGGGGCAATACACTGGCCCGGAGCGCCTTCTCCCACAAGCCGTGCGATCCGGGGAACCGCGGGGAGGCCGGCCAGAGGCCCTCCTTCCTTGAAAAGCCAGGAGACCTGGCAGGGCCGCTAGGAGCCCAGCCTTTCTCCCGTTCCAAATAAGGTCGTTAAAGCAACCTTCCTCTGCCTCTGGGAGAAACCGTGTTACTCCGTCCTCCTAAGGCTCAGATCTGCTGTCCACTTTTGTTCTCAGAACGCAATCACTTGATTGCCAAAGCTCAGACTGAATACTTACAATCAGTGCATTTTATTACATGTTAACTAACCCTCAGTGCAGCACAAAAAAAGCAGTGCTTGCTATGAGAGTCCCTAAAAATCAGGAAATATAGACATGTGTGTGTCACCAAAGACATCTTCAATGTAAAGATATACTCTTAGCTATACATTTAAAACTCCCTAGATTTGGATTAGGATATTGGAGACTGAATACATGATAAGTCCTCAAAAAGTTCACCAAAAAAGCACATATTATGGGGGACAAAAAAAACAAACTGTGCATGGATTTCAAGTTTGTTTTGCACCAAAATAAATTTATCTTTCCATGAAGACTTTGTACTCAATATGCCCATCCTAGCGCATGAATTCAGCCAGCAAACTGTCAGCTACCAGGCTGGGACCAGAGCTGCTGGAATAGCCTAGGGAAAAAAAAAAAAAAAAAAAACACTATGGCCCAAGGACCAAACAGCAGCCCAGTCACCTGCCTTGTGCTGCACTGGATTAAGCCTGGCTTATTTGGCCCAGATAAATATCAGAGAGGGTTTTTGTTTTTTAACATTGACAAATGTTAACAAAGCAGCAAACCCACTGCAATGCAACACCAGCAAACTGTATCCTACAGCAAATCAATACACTCCGGCCTGCAGGCCCCGGTGACACGATTCCAAATGTCAAGAGCGCCACCTGCTGTTCAGGCTGTGAAAGGTACTCTGAGGTGGGTCTGCAGGAGGGCAAGTGGGCAGGGCTTCTGAAGCCTTCGCCAGGGTTTTGCAGATGTCTGCATTTCCGTTTTTTAAAAGTTACTCCAAACACACACCAGTGTATCCGGTTGAGAAAGGAAAGGAAAGCCATCAAACCAGGTTCCAGGCTTTCAGTTTGCGTGGTGAGAACGTTGCTAGGAGTTGTGTCAGACACTGCTATTTTAAGTCAATAAATCAATGCAGGTTAATGAGACAGAACAAACGTGGACTCACTTCTTAAGGAAGCATTTCTACAACCGCAGATCCACTGAGATGACAGAAAAGTGACGTGAGAATCGAGTTGTGCAGGCTCACAATGCTCCACGCCTCCCTAACTCAACAGAACCTGAGACAGACCACATGTGTCCTGCAAAAGGCACGTTAGTGAAAGTAAAACATCATCATTCATCCCATTAAGCTGGAGTCAGTTACTGATGCAGCTTTACGTGAAGTCGGTTTGCAACTCTGCCTTGCTTCCACGGCTGAATACAAAGACAAAGGTAAGAAATGGATAGCTAGTGACGCCTGAAATATTTCAGTTACAATATATGAAACGATTTAATTCCTCTGAGCTGGTATTCCTATGTCTATCTCATCCTCGTGTGTGTGCACATGCTCGTCACTTGTTGAATGGACTGAGATCAACACGCAGGGTTTGCTGCCATCTTCTCCCTCCTAAAGGAGTGACACACACGACTCAGCCGGGTTTTGGCTGCAATAGTGTTGTTTCGTGTAGCAAACAATGCCAAAGTGCCACAGAATCACATTAACAACCTCTTTCTTTTTCCTTAATCACACATCGACAGGTCAGACAGGCCCACTCGGCTTCAGCGCACAGGCCACGTTTAACTCCGTCTCATCTTTGCCCCAGAGTGGCACGGCACAGGCTTTCTTTCGTGGCAGCTGGCAGAAACGCTAAGGAGCCAAGCTGGACAGGCTACACATTTAAAACCTCTGTTCCCATCGTAACTGCTCATGCTCCGTTGGCTAAAACAAGCCATGTGGCTAGCAGCGACACGGTGGGAAGGTGCAGTCCTCCCGCTAAAGATGGCCACAAAGAACGGGGGGAGGGCAGATTTGTGGGAAAATTATACAGTCGCTCTCAGATCCACACTTGCAACATTGTTTTTCAGGAAAGGAACCATCTATGTCCCCGTCACTCCCATTAAGAAATCATACATCCTCCAGTGCAACTGGCAAACTCAATGATGCCTTGTACTGTCTTCGCCCATTTCCGAACTCTCCATCAAAATGACGAAGAAGCCTTAGAAGTAAACATTCTAAATCATAAAGTTTCATAGCAGAGAAACAGAGAAGAGCAATAATCATGTGTTTAAAATTTAAAAGCAAAAGGGTGCCCTTAACTGAGACCCACCTGCTGCACAGGTTTCTAAGAAGGACCTAGCTGGACCCCTGGAACCTGGCCTTCACCCCAGCTCGGGGCCACAGTGACTGGCGAGGGGGTGGACGGTGTCGCCTGAGCAGAGAGAAAGCTGACATCCCCGCCCTGCGGCCTGCCACCCTCTGACAGAATGGGGCTCTCTCCGGAGTGACGTTGGTCAGAGACCATTCCTGCGTGACACATGGCCAGGGTGAGCTGCATGGTCCATGGCCCTGCTAGGAACAGCTCCTGCCACGGAGAAGGAGGGGACCCGGATCCTGCAAGGTCCGGGCTGCTGAAATGGACACGCAGGGGAAACACTCAGAGATGGCGCTCTCCTGGGTTTGTGCCTCCCTCTGGGAGTGGGAGACCTCCAGTGAACCTTCAGGGGCTTCGTCCATGTCCACGCCCAATACTATGCACATGAGGGTGCCCATCAGAATAATCACAGGCTGGGGGCCGGCACCGTGGGGCACTAGGTTAATCCTCTGCCTACGGCGCCAGCATCCCATATAGCCACCGGTTCTAGTCCTGGCTGCTCCTCTTCCAGTCCAGCTCTCTGCTGTGGCCCGGGAGGGCAGTGGAGGATGGCCCAAGTGCTTGGGCCCTGCACCCCATGGGAGAGCAGGAGAAGCACCTGGCTCCTGGCTTTGGATTGGTGCAGTGCTGGCCAAAGCGGCCATTTGGGGTGTGAACCAACGGAATGAAGACCTTTCTCTCTGTCTCTCTCTCACTGTCTAACTCTGCCTGTCAAATAAATTAAAAAAAAAAAAAAGAATGATCACAGGCTGTACAGAACAACCCCACTGTGTAAAAGACACAGCCCATAGTCATTAAAACAGTGTGGCTCCGGCACATGAGTTAACACGGTAGTTACAGACCTAACGCATAAGAAAACGTAGTGTATAATAAACGAGGAATCATTTAAAAATTTTGTTAAATTGGAAAGTAAAAAAAAAAAAAGTGTGCAGATACCTGGCTGCTACCTGCGGAAAAGAAGTTTTAAGACTCACATTCCATGCGGCTGTGGGGAGGCACCGTGTCTACACTGGAAGCCAGGAATCAGAAAAGGAGCACGCTTCCTCGGACCGGAAGCTCACCAGGCCAGCACCGACGGGCGGCCAGAAACAGACGCGGCACTCGCGCTGGCGCTGGCACACCGCTCACTTCCCGCCCATCGCGACCCTCATCCTAGAAGCTCCAATGAACGGGCAGCCCGTGGGGCACGTGACCCGCCACTCCAGTCAGACACAGCTGATTGGTGGGCCCTGACCCAGGCTGAGCCAATCAGAATTTCCTTCCCGGGAGCCTGGGCCTCTGCGCTCTGAGGCGATGGTGCTGAGGGAGTAGCGAGCCGGCAGCCAGGGTGGGCTCCGTGACTCCCGGACATGCGAGGGGGTCAGACGTGGGAGGCCTGCTGGGTGCGCAGGCGCAGGGGAGAGCGCGCCTGGCCTCCGAGGGGGCGTCCCGCGGGGTCTCACAGCCTTTCTCTGGGGGCGTCGGCGCCGGCCATCTTCCCGCCACGTCCTGAGGGACGGACGCAGCGTGTGGGTCACGTGGCGGGCCAAGTGCCTGATGGGAAGGCAGGCGGCTGAGAAGGGCCGCTGCGTGCTGCTTCTCTGACTTTTCAAAAGGGCGGTGCTCAGCCCTGCACGGTTGTTGTCAAGGCTGAAAGGGCCAGGCCGGGCATCCCGAGAGCCCGCCTCCCAGGGACACAGGTGCAAGCCCGGAGCCGCCCTTACACGGTCCCCCCAGGGAGTGTTTGAAAAGAAGCGCAATAAAACGAGTCGCCCCTGGGCAGGAGTCGGGCCTTTTTTCTAAAAATAGGATCCGACTTCACTGATCTCTCCTTGAAATGTGGTCTTTAATGGTACAAAAGTGCAGAGCAGCGTGGGGCCGCCAGCAAGGAGCAGAGCCGCAAAGAAATGAGGAAAGAGGAACCAAGAGGCGGCCCGCAGGTGGTCGGCTGCCATCAATGCTGTCGTGATTTTCCTAGTGCGGAAACTGTCGAGTTGGCCAGGTTTCCATGCCCATGAATCGGAGCTGAAGAACCATTGTAATTGCCAGTGATGCTGGAGGGGTCAGCACTGTGGCGTGGCGGGTGAAGGGAGCAGCTGGGACCTCAGCACTAACTCCATGGGAGCTGATGACGAAAGGCTGTGCCCAATGACTTTGCTCTTCACAAGATGCCACACCTGTAGCCCGATGAGGAGTGACAGCTGAGACCACCACACCAGCTGGCGAGATGGGTACACGCTGGTGAGGTGAGTATGCACAAAAACTTAGCTAAATTTACAGAAAAGAAAGCTGTGCAGTAATTCTTGCACACCTGTGGTTTGGGACTAATATTAGTACCTCCTACATCCAAGTAGGAAAACCAAGGCCAAAAGGTAATTAAGCAGCTTGCATTAAGATTGGCAAACATCAATTTAAACACATCCATTTAAAATGACTTTAGGAAGAATGCCTATTAAAATTATACTTTCCATTTTCAGAGCTACTTCCATGACGCTCCTACATAAATCTCTAACTGTCAAATGCTTGGAAACCTTTGGTAATCTGGAGTTACCTGCCTTCCCACCCCACCTCCCACCATAGTTCTTTTGGGATGTTGGAGCAGAGAATGTATGTGTATGCGTTTTTCTATCAGATCAGGAGACTAAGATCTCTCAAGCGAAATTCACCTTCAGATCATGATGAAGTTATTGGCTTTCTGTTGACATAAATTACATGGGAACCACAATAGATGATACATCATTTTCTCTCTGCTGAATGGCTTTTATAATCGCAGCTGGATTTCTGACTGTAATTTCTCTTAAGGTCAGGTTTTCTTCTCCAGGTATATTCAGTGATACACTTGGAGAAGATTTGTCAGAACAAATCTAGATATATCTTTATGTTCTTATTTTATTCGATTCCAAGGTTCTATCAGGAAAATAGCCAGGGAGAAAAACAATATCCCATTAACAACATAATAAATGTCTGATGCTACTCTATATGGTGTCTATGTAAAACACAAAGAATACAATGCCAGAGAAAGAGAGAAATTTCTGGTATTTTTCCCAAGTATCACTTTTTTCTGGAAAACAGGTACAGAGTTTTCTCTGTAATTTATTTCCAGATTCTAGAACACCATCACTACAAGATGAATCCAAGACTTAATAGAGCTTTCAAGGGGAAAAAGAAATGATATTAAGCATCCATCATTTGTAAAATCCACTCCAAGTAAAGAAATGTGAAAATATTCATGCAATGAAAATCTCTCCTAGAAACTCAGCTGTTAGTACCTGCCACAGAGGGGTGGCCATGATGCTCCTACACTGGAATCAAAGGCAGAGTCATAAAACTTGGGATCAAGACACAGTTTTGGGAAGAGAAGCTTTCCCAGGTTGTCTAGAAAGGGTGATATGGAGGAAAAATCCATGGTCTTTGATAATTATGGGTTCGGGTGAGGTCTGGCATTTACTATCTGTGTGACCTGGAACCTCCCTTGATTTCCTTATGGTAAATTGAGGATTGCTCTATACATGCAATGCATTTGCTGTGAGCCTGAATTTTTCCAGCCACTAGGACAGGAACTTGGCCTAGTGCTTAAGGAGTCAGGTAGGACACCCTTGTCCCATGTCAGGTGCCTGCCTGCCATACCTTCTGGAGCTCCTGACTCCAGCCTCCTGTTAGTGCATACTCCAGGAATCAGCACTGATGCTACCAACATGAGAGACCTAAATTGAGGTCCTGGCTCCAGCCTCTTGTAAGTGCACACCCCAGGAGTCAGCACTGATGGCTCAACTAATTGAGCTCCTGCTACCCACATGGGAGATCTAAATTGAGGTCCTGGCTCCTAGCTTTGGCCCCAAACCATTGCAGACATTTGAGGATTTGTCTGTCTGTCTCTCTCTCTCTAATAAATAAATAAAAATTTTACATAAAAACATAGTTAATATTTTCTGGGCACTGTTCTAGACACTGATGATAGAGACAAGACAAAGTTCCTGTTCTCTTGGAGCTTACACTCTAGGGAGGAGGAGCAGACAATCTGATGGGGGAGAAGAGAACCGAAGATGGTTCCAGGTAGGAGGACACCAAAGGAAACATGAATGAGACTTCATCTAAGGGAAGCAGCCTCTCTGAGGAGAGAGCTGAAATCTCAAAGAACTAGAAGAAAACACTTAGAGGAAATTGCTAATACAAGGGCCCCCAAAGCAAATGAGGACCATGTCTGAGAAAGCCAGAGAAGTGTTTGTGTAACTGGAGCAGAGCTGGCACTGGGGAGAGCGTGGGAGAGGAAATCCGGGAGGAAGGGTGGGAGGGCCGGAGCATTCAGCTCCAGAAGGCCACTGTGAGGACTTTGGTTGTGTTCTGAAGGAAAAGGAAAGCCATTTTACACTGAGGGCAGTGTGTTAATTTATTTTTAATCCACTCTGGCTTTGGTGATTCATGCAAGAGATGATGGGGTAGGTTAAGAGTCCCTATACTGTAAGTTGTTTGGGGATTCACTGAGAAAATGTCAAGGGCCTAGCCTGGTGCCCAGCCTCTCATACATGCTGTGATACTCGTATATATGAAGTTCTGTGTACACTGCCTTTATTCCATTCACTACATTGCATTAAATTGTCAGTCTAAGGGCCCATCTCCCAGGCAAGACTGAGTGTCTTGTTAGCAGACACTGTACCATATCCAACTCCTGTATTCCCACGGCCTGGTACAGCACCTGACTCATGAAAAGCACGTGATCATATTTGATAAGTAGGAGGCTGATTGCATGAATGGATGTTCTCCAGTGACTGGGGAAGGAAACGGACATAATCCCAGCCCCTCTACTGTGTGTGTGTATTGGGAAACAGAGGGACAGGCATTTGGCACTGTGGTTAAAATGCTGCTTGGGATGCTCACATCTCCTATCCATGTATCGGGTTTGAGCCCATCTCTGCCCCAGATTTCAGCTTTCTGCTAATGTGCACCCTGGGAGACAGCAGTTGATGATTCGTGTACTTGGGTCCCTCCCACCTACATGGGAGATGTGGTTTGAGTTCCTGGCTCCTGGCCTCAGCCTGGCCCAGCATTTAGGGAGTGAAGCAGCAGAGAGAAGATACCTCCCATCTGCACATGTCTTTCAGGTAAATTAAATAAATAAATTTTAGAAAGATATGAAGACTCGGGTTTAGAAAGAGTGAATTAGTGAGGAGGATGGTTAAAGCAAGGTAAATGGTAGCCCCCAGTTGTTTATGACTTCTCCCATCAAGAGGGATTTCTCTACCTCTTGAGTCTGAGATGGCTGTGTGAATCACTTGAATCAATAAAAGGCAATGGAAGTATTGTTATAGTTCTAGGGCTAAACCTCAAGAGATCTTGTAGCTTCTGATCTTATACTGGAAACCCTTCTCCCCCATGTTGTCAAGTCTGGGTTAGCTTTCTGAAGAGTGAGCAGACAGGTGCCATGAGAGCCCATCCATCCCACCTCTTCCAGCCAAAAACAGCAGAGCACAGGCTAGACCAGGGCTACTCAGCTGAGCCCAGCCCACAACCTATCCCACAGAACCATGAGAAACAGTAAGTTATTGTTTGAAATGGCTAAGCTTGCTTTTGTGCAGCTGACCTTGAGTACAGACAGAAGCAAATCAGCAGAGAAAGACCAGTTTGAAAAAGAGAACATCAAAGGCTGTGAAGAAGAAGGCATGAATCGGGACACTCCAGAATGCCGATGGCATGCCACTTGAAAGAGTCTAGAAAGGGGGAGGCCCTCATAATCTGCTGGTCTGCTGACGTGCCTAAAGCACTTCTGTCACTGCCAGTGACTGGTTCAGTTTGCCACATTTCTTCCCGCTCCATGAAAGCGTTCTTCCCGTCCCTACTTGTCCTTCCATACCAGACTAAACTGAAGCAATCCTAAGGTATCTAACGATGGCACTCACCTTCATCACCCACAATGAGTACAGCTCCCCTGCACAGCTAAGTTGCAAGCAACAGAAGTTATCATGTCTCCAAGTTCTGCAAATCTTTCTCCAAAGAACATCCAGGCAGAGCTGTCACCAAAACAGTTCCCCTGCAGGAAGTCCGCATGCCTCTGAGTCTGCACTCCTCTGCTGAAGTCGGCTTCTGAACCCAGAGTGGAAAGATTTAACAGTATATTCTGAAGCAACCCTCAATGGCCACAAGCCTCACTATAACTCCAAGCATCCTAAAATCTACCCAGAGTTACTTTGATCCAGTTTCCTGTCCTCTTTGATATTTTTTTTACAATGCCCCTGCCCTCCCCCAGAGGACTGGAGACTCTCAGTACCAATACAAGTAGTACTGCTCCTCTGTTCCCCAATCTAATGCCAACAATGTTCTACTTACCGAAGTGTGATGTCACCCTCTAAAACCCCATCAGCCACCCAGGGACACCTGCACAAGGCTGCTCAGTGCCTACAGCTTCCTCTAACTCGTCCTGAAGCCATTGCCTTCAGGCTGTGGAAGCCTCCATGGCCCAGCACAGGCCAAAAGTGGCAGAGATTTAACACACCCATAGAAGCTCTCAGACAACGAAGGAGAGGAGTTGGATAAAATCCCAGCTTGCTTGCCCAGTGGTGGGACATTGCTGAGGCATGTTCCACAGCCTCTTCTGCAGCTTCTGGTGGTCCTCATGCATGAATGCACCCACCCTTCCTTGGCTTTCCTCCCTTCCTGGGCTCACTTCCTCACTCCCTCACCACCCTTCTGGGATGACCTCCCAAGTAAATTAACCCCGCTATGTTTTTGTCTCCGTCTACTTAGAGGCATGCCAGATCCTCTGAATTGTCCCGAGTAGGCTGAGTTTCCTCCCATCCTGGCCAGAAGCATCCGGTACAACCTGCATGTGCTTTCTCCATTCCTTACCAGTCCCAGGGACAGATTGTAGGGACTCACGCAAGCACAATTGCTAGAGTTTGTTCTGATCCCCCTCCTTAAGTAAAGGAAACCAGAGTTCATCATGCACCCCCTCTCTGAGGTTGCTGGTTCCCTGATCTTATGACCCATCCTTCAGCTTCCTCAGAGCCACCAAGGTCCACTCACCAAGAATCCCTGGAAGCAGAGCCATGTTGTGCCCAGTCCCCTGGGAGTAGTCTTAGTCAGTGAATCCAAGCCATCAGCAGGCCCATTCCAGATGTGAGGAGGCCCAGTCAAGGGGAGGAGCTGAAGAAGGCCCCCTGGGTGCTGTTGACTCCCACTGATTCTACGTGGATGTGAGAAGTTCACAGGCTGGTTTTCTTGGAAAGCTGGCACTGAGAAACATCCGTGCAAGGAAGGTTACTGGGAATTGTTCTCATTAGCAACACCTGTTGGGTAATGGGGTATAAATACTATAGGACTGGGCAGGAGGAGGAGCTAACTGTGGTGTAGTATCTGATCCCACAAAGAGACATGGGCTGGTGATGCAGAGCTCTCCTAAGTTGAGGCAAGGGGATTGGCTCTTTGTAACCCATGTTGACAAGCCATGGGGTGTGAGCTTCCTTAAAAAGGATCATCACTTTGAGCAACAATACTCAGATCAACCAAGGGTAAGACCAGGAGAGTGGGTGCTTCAGGGATGTACAAGCCAACCACAAGCATCCACCACCTCAGTAGCAGGAGTTCGTAAGGGAGAGAGAATCAGAAATCTCTTCACCACCTGGAGCAAGTAAGGACATGAAGCAGTTGCCCCCAAAATGCCCAACTCAGGAGGGGCTGGGGATAAGCCCTAAGCAAGTGACTTGACAGCCACCAGAGCTTCTTCAGTGAAGGTGTCTCTTCTGGGAGGACCAGCTGTGGCTCCGAAGCCACCTCCTCATCCATCATGAATGCCCAACCAGTCTGCAGCTGAGGGGGTTGCATGAGGTACCCCACACCCTGCAGTACTAACCACTGGTCTCAAACACAGTCTTCTGTGAAGAAAAAGTGTAATGGATATCGCCTAAGAGTTCACAGTGAGGCCATAGCCTCCTGAATATTGGACTTGGCTGTGGTCCTGCTTCTGCCTAAGCAGGCTTTGTGAAGGCATATCTTCCTAAATGGAATGTGCCTGCAGTAAGCAGAAGGTTTGGGTAACGTGGAAATCCATGGAAGAAACTTTCATGGCTCTGGGGAGAAACAATTGATTCAAATCGAGTTGGGAGTCCCTGGTCAAGTCCCAAATGTTCTCTGCGTAAGAAGGGGAACTCTCGGCCGGCGCCGCGGCTCACTAGGCTAATCCTCCGCCTTGCGGCGCCGGCACACCGGGTTCTAGTCCCGGGCGGGGCGCCGGATTCTGTCCCCGTTGCCCCTCTTCCAGGCCAGCTCTCTGCTGTGGCCAGGGAGTGCAGTGGAGGATGGCCCAAGTGCTTGGGCCCTGCACCCCATGGGAGACCAGAATAAGCACCTGGCTCCTGCCATCGGATCAGCGTGGTGCGCCGGCCGCAGCGCGCCAGCCTCCGCAGCCATTGGAGGGTGAACCAACGGCAAAAGGAAGACCTTTCTCTCTCTCTCTCTCACTGTCCACTCTGCCTGTCAAAAAAAAAAAAAAAAAAAAGAGGAACTCTCTGAAGTGTGCACAAGGGATGTGTACACAATGACTTAGTGAGAAACAGCCTGATTATCCATCAGGAGAGAAGCTAAGGAAAGTGGGTAAATCCAAACAACACTGAGGAAGGCAAATCAACAGGGAGGGAGTGGATTCAAGGCCAGAAGCTGGGGTATCATGGCTGATGCCTGTGTTTTGAACTTGTTCAACAGGACTATTGCCCAAGATAAAGAGCAGTGGGAGAGGATCAGGTTTGGGAGGGATGACTGTGCATTCTACCGTGGAAAACTGATGTCCACACTTGGGTATGTCATGTGGACAGGTGAACAGATGGCCTGGGAGTTAGAAGCCATCGATGGATCATCTGCAAAGACTAAGAAGAAACTGCCAAGGGGGAGAACACAGAGTCAGAGGGTCTAAGACTGGTCTCCTGGGAGCTACAACTAGTTTTGTTTTTGTTTTGTTTTTGTTTTGTTTTGTTTTGTTTTGTTTTGTTTTGTTTTGTTTTTGACAGGCGGAGTGGACAGTGAGAGAGAGACAAAGAGAAAGGTCTTCCTTTGCCGATGGTTTACCCTCCAATGGCCGCCGCGGCCGGAGCACTGTGGACGGCGCACCGCGCTGATCTGATGGCAGGAGCCAGGTGCTTCTCCTGGTCTCCCATGGGGTGCAGGGCCCAAGCACTTGGGCCATCCTCCACTGTACTCCCTGGCCACAGCAGAGAGCTGGCCTGGAAGAGGGGCAACTGGGACAGAATCCGGCACCCCGACTGGGACTAGAACCCGGTGTGCCAGCGCCTACAACTATATTTTAACAACTCTATGGTTTCATAAAGTATAATCAACACAAGATAAACTGTACATTTCAAAAATGCAATTTGATAAGTATTAATAAATATACGTGCACAAGTCCATTATCACATTCAGGAAAGTGAATATACCCACCATCCTCCAAGTTACTAGGTGTTCGTTTCTTTGGTTTCCCTCTCTCCTCCTTTTCCCCATTTCTGTTCCCCAGGCAAACTCTGATCTGTTTCCTGTCAGTGTAGATTGGTTGGTGTTTTCTAGAATACTATGTAAATGGAATCATCCGAATGTAGTCTTTTCTTTTGTCTGACTTCTCTCGTCCAACCTAATTATTTGAAGGTTAATTCATGTGGCTCCTGTGTCTATAATTCATTCCTTCTCCATGGCTGAAAAACTGTCCATTGATGAACATATCAGAATGTGCTTATCTACCCACCAACTGATGGACATTTGGGCTGCCTCCACTTTTAGGCTAGTGCAAATAAAGTACCTATGAATATTATTAAGTCTGTTGAGGAGATGTGCTTTAATTTCTCCCAGGTAAATTCTTAAGAGTGGAACCGCCAGATCTTATGGGAAGTGTTTGGCTTTTAAAAGAACTGTCAAACTGTACCCCAAAGATGGAGCACCATTTTACATTCCCACCAGCAGGGTGTAGCAGTCCCAGTGGTTCTAGTCCTCACTAGTCCTTGGTATGGTGGGTTGTTTCATTATAGCCATTTAACTTTAGCCATTTAATGGGTGTATAGCAGGATTTCTTTGTGAATTAGGTTGCATTTCCCTGATGATTTAATAATGGAACTACAATTTCAGCAACTGGAAGAAGACTGAACCTAAACAACAGGCCCAACAGAGTGGACAAGGATGTAGAAGGAAAACCAGAAAAAGGTGGCATCCTCAAAGTCAACATGAGAATGACTCAGGGAGAATGATCCATCAGGTGATGCTAATGGGAAGACTGAAATTCTCTTTTGGACTTAGAGGCATGGAGGTCACTGGTGTCTTCATCAAAAGATGTTCCAAGAGCAACTGGATCCAGCTTCTGGCCTCTGCACATTCTCACAATGAGAACCACTGCACTGCCTGCTGGACAGCACCCCCTCCTCAATGGCCTGAGGTCCAGATCCACAGGACCCCTGCTCCAAGCTCCTGAAGCCAAAGTGCCCCTGCTAACTCTCTATGGTGGTTGCAAGTTTCTAGAACTGTCATGTCAAGCCAACTCCAAGCTCCCAAAGAACATGCGAAAGGATTGTTGAGGCGTGGTCTCAGGGTCTTCACTTCTGGAAGGGAAGAAGCAGGATTACAGCAGGGAGACACTGGGCTGTGGTAGAGGCTTAGCCAACCGTTGTGAGGCACTCTGAGGCTGGATGGCCCTTCAGCCTTGTCCCCGCCTTCATACCCACAGGCCTCTGGGGGTGCCTGCTGCAGGAGGGGCTGTGAAGCGACCCTTCCCAATTGGGGGGAATTCCAACAGAAGGCTGAAAACTGGGGTTGTTCTTTTCAGTGTTGAAAGAGGAGCTTGGTGGTGCAAGGAGTCTCTCCCTTGCTCCGACTTCTGGGTTCTGATGGCCCCAAATTCTTCCCTTGATTCTCCACCTAGGAATGCAAGCCACTTCCCAGTTACCGCCTCTAGGTTGCCCTGACCCCCCTTTGTGTTTCTTCCATTCTCCAGCACCTCCAGTCGGTTCTCTGGTGCCATTCCTGCTCTGCTGTTGCACTCCTCCACCTACACGACGCCACAGCTGACAGGGAAGGGAGAGTAAGGGAGAGAAACCCACCTTTCCGACTGGGTCTGTGACCTCCTGACCAAGTTACACAGAACCTGAACAAGTCAGCTTGGGCAGAATCAGGGAAGGTCTTGCTTTCAAGCTCACAGATACTCCCAGAGGTATCCAGAGAGACCAACATTGCAGCACAGAAACCTTGAGTGTGTTCTGCGCCCCTGTGTGTGTGCTCTGCAGCTGGGAATGTACCCAAGCTCTGGCTCCTTTGAGCCCCAGTATAATCCATTTGCTGCATTTCTGAGGTAGTGAAGCACTACACGGCTCCTAGTGATCTGAAAACATTAGCACAGTCACAGGCTGAAGCCCCAGCGTCATGTAGAAGTGACTCAGGCTCAGGCATAATTGGGCCACCAAAAAAAATTAAAAATAAAAAATGTGTAACTAGGTATGTAGTGGTAAAGGATTTCTTCTTTTCTGACTGCACCAAATCCAACTTTGGTAAAACTGAAGCTGCAGACCAAGATGGTTACTTACTAAAAATGAACATATCTTATCGAGTACTCAAGTGCTCATCTCATTTAGATGTACTCAGTTCGGCTTTAAGTGAAACAATTACAGTCTGAACAGTTATCTAATTCCTCAGCTCTCGTTCCAGCATTAAGAAATAATTGGAAGGGGTCAGCATTGTGGTATAGCAGGTGGGGCCACCACCTGCAATGCCAGCATCCCATATCGCCACCAGTTGTGTCCAGGCTGTTCTACTTATGATCCAGCTCCCTGCTAGTGTACCTGGGAAGGCAGCGGAACATGGTTTGAGTGCTTGAGGCCCTGTACCCATTTGAGAGACCCAGATGGAGCTCCTGGCTCCTGGCTTCAGCCAGGCCCAGCCCTGGCCATTGCTGCCATTTGGGGAATGAAACAGTGGGTGGAAGTTTGCTCCCTCTCTCTCTCTTTCTCTCTCTCTGCCTCTCCCCCACCCATAACTGCCTTTCAAATAAATAAATGAGATTTAAGAACTTAATACATTATCCCTCTTAGTAGTTTTTTTTTGTCTGTTCTACTTAATATGACTGGTTTAATTCTGTAATTAATACACAGTTATTCTTAAGTGTTGAAATTTAACTGAAATGTGATCCCTGTTAAACATAAGAGTGGGAATAAGAGAGGGAAGAGATGTACAATTTGGGACATGCTCAAGCTGACTTGCCCCAAATGGTAGAGTTAGAAACATACCAGGGGACTCCAATTTAATCCTATCAAGGTGGCATGTACCAATGCCATCTCACTAGTCCAAGTGATCAATTTCAGTTCACAATTGATCATAATGAAAGTTCTAAGAGTCAAAGGGAGCACATAAACAAGTCTAGTACCTGCTAATACTAACAGATAGAATAAATAAAGGGGAGAGTGATCCAACATGGGAAGTGAGATACTCAGCAGACTCATAGAATGGTGGATGTCCTAAACAGCACTCTGGCCTCAGAATCAGCCCTAAAGGCATTCGGATCTGGCTGAAAAGCCCATGAGAGTATTTCAGGCATGAAAAGCCAAGACACTCTGGCAAAAAAAAAAAAAAAACCTAAATGAAAGATCTCTGTGAGTGAGATCCCAGTGGAAAGAACAGGTCTTCAAAGAAGGAGGTACCTTTCTCTGAAAGGAGGAGAGAACCTCCACTTTGACTATGACCTTGTCTAAACAAGATAAGAATCGGAGAACTCAGAGGGCTTCCATAGCCTTGGAAACTCATGACTGGTGCATAGGGAGATTACTGATGCCATAAACAGGAGTGTCAATTTGTAAAGTCAACAACAGGAGTCACTGTGCACTTACTCCTCATGTAGGATCTCTGTCCTTAATGTGCTGTAAATTGAGACTTAATGCTATAATGAGTACTCAAACAGTATATTTCACTTTGTGTTTCTATGGGGGTGCAAACTGTTGAAATCTTTACTTAATGTATACTAAACTGATCTTCTGTAAAAAAAAAAAAAAAAAAGAAGAAGAAGAAGAAGAAATTATCAATTCCCAACTTGACTCTCACTGGGATTAAACATGACAATAGGTCTGATCTGATTTCATCAGCATTTAAAAAATCATCTATTATTTTTCACTTTATGTTTCTGTGTGGTTGCAAACTATTGAAATCTTTACTTAATGTATGCTAAACTGATCTTCTGTATATAAAGAGAATCGAAAATGAATCCTCATGTGAATGGAAGGGGAGAGGGAGTGGGAAAGGGGAGGGTTGCGGGTGGGAGGGACGTTATGGGGGGGAAGCCATTGTAATCCATAAGCCGTACTTTGGAAATTTATATTAATTAAATAAAAGTTTAAAAAAAAGAACATAATAATTAGAATGCAGTCCCACTTCTGTTATCCAGACCATGTTTTATTAGCACAGAAAGGCAAGGATACACCTTGTTCATTTCATGGGGGAATGTAGTCCCTAGTGAGCACCACTGGAGTAGTACACCACAAACTTAACTACAAGGAGGAAGCATGACACGTGGTTATTAACAAAACTCCTCACTGATGACAGGTCTTACCAAAAAGAGCAAGTATTAAAGGCTTCAAATGTACAAATCTGAAAATATGTTACAACATTTACCATTCAGACTCAGTTGACTTGTTTCTAAAATATACTGAGCGTCTCTCCTAACTGTGCGATGAGAGGCCGCTTTTCTCTGCTTCAGTCTGATGCTGTCCTTGACTGTCCTTGAGCAGAGCAGACGCCGCACAGGTGCTCGGGGCTACGACGCCTGCTCTGCAGTCCTCTTGTGCTGGCTCCGGAAGTGACCCTCACCGCTGGGGGATGCCTCCTTCTGTAGGTTTGCCGTGGCCTTCCCAGCTGTTTCAATCCAGGGGTGCTGAAGAACCTGGTGGGCTGTGTAGCGCTTTTTGGGGTCTACCACCAGCAACCGACTCACCAGATCTTTGGCAGCTGTTCGAGCGAGAGAAAGAGAGACACGCGTGATGAAAGCCGGTGGTTCTGAATTTTCCTTCCCCACACATGAACTCCTCTATGCTAGCACCAAAGGCCGGCTAAGAGGCTCTCAGACCCCAGAGAAAACAGAAACATCTTCCATCCACAGGATCCACTCGGGACTGGGAGAGGTGGGGGGCCATGGGAAATGTGGCTACAAAGACTTTTATTTGATTTACTATTAACCTACACTAAGTGTAAACAGCCCTGTGGGCCAGGGGCTGCCATGTGGGACAGCACTGCTCTAGAAGACATCTGCTCATTTCTCTGGAATTGCGTGGCCAGGCCCACCCCTAACATCCACAGCTTCCTGCACAGGGAAACCATGGGAGCCACGTTCCACATGCCTACTAGATGCCTTGGAGCTGTGAATCAAACAATTAAGTTGTTAATAAAATATATTCACTCCTCCTAAGGCAACCAATACACCTCTGTGTTGACAAAACAAAAACACGTGTCGCGAAGAGTGCTGCAGCATTTCACTTCTGCCCAAGACCACGGCTGGTCCTAGTGGGTCGTGATAACACCTGGTGAGCCAGGCAGCAGGCAGGAGCAGAAGAGACTTCGCTGCTTTTCCAGGAAGAAACCACCTGCTTTTTTATTTTCTTTATTGAGGGATGCCTCTTGCTCAAGTTGAGGGGCTCACCCCCTGTCCAGGCTCCTCTCCTGGTTAGTCTGTTCTATTTACTGCCCGCTCGCTTTTACAAGGACAGTGAGCAGTACAGACAAATCAGCAGAGACAAGGGGAGCAATTCCATCTGGAATCAGACCGGAAGTGAGGACCAAATGGGAGGAGCCCCATGCACACTTCAAGGTCCCTCAGAAATAACCTCCACCCCTCTCCCTGCAGAGCCCCCTCTGCTCCAAGTCCACTTTTCAGGAGTAAAATAAGCATTTTCAGTCTGTTCCACTCACAAGCACTCTTTCCTATACAATGGTCTTTCTCTTTCCAAGTGGTAGTTAAGTTCTTTCCGGTATTTTTTGGTTCTGAGGTTGTTCCGTTGCCTTAAGAGTAACTGCAGCTGGTGGTTAGACTTTTTCATTAAATTCCATGAGTCGTGTTTTTGCAATGTGGCACCAGAAGTGGCTGAGGCTCCTGAGGTGGGCCCTCTGCGTGTCTTAATGCACACTGCACGTCCCACCCTTAAACCTGCTTTGCCGTCAGAACCCAGAAGGCGGC